GCGCCATTTGTGGTATTTTCTAAAACGCGCTGTTAAGACAGCAGGTAAAAGTTGGTCTGTGTTCTGTCGGAGCTGCCTGCGACGCGCTGATGAGATCCGAAAAGATCGAAATCGCTATCCGCGTCTGGCACTTTCGACAGAATACAGACCACTTCGAATTATTTTATTTTACTGTTTATTGATTAATGAGTGGAGTTGGGATCATTCGAATAAAAATAATTGATTATTCGATTATTGCAATCATTCGAAATATTTCCAATGGTTACGAAATCGTTCGAACGATTTGCCATCTTATTATTGTGGATATCAACCGAATAACTAACAAGGAGGCCATTGCTTCAGTCAATAAAGGGTGTAACAGAATTAAGTGCCGAGCCGTGAACGGTGTAAAATAGATGCAATAAACAATCGGCAAAACAATTTATAAGAAATCCACAATAACAATAACATACCACACACACTTCACCTTCATTGTGATTTTATTACAGCATGGCTTTATTCAACTCATATATTATGTGATAATGTATAGGGTGATTCATTTATTTAAATACAAAGAAATGAACTGATCGAATCTCATTATTTTGGAAAAAGTTTAAAATGAAAAATTTGCTCTTTCGAAAAGGAAATCAATTCATGCAGGCAAGTTCACGGTCAGTTATGAATTACCCTTCGAGTGAAGTAATTATTTTTACGCGAATATATAGGATTTTTGACCTATTTCGTAAAAGTTGTAGGCAGTTTGTATACTTTCGAAGGCGCAATCAAATGTTACCGCGACCTCAACCTACAAAGTCATCCTAAGGTCAAGATATTTCTTTGATGAGAACATATATGTATCATTGATCCTAACAGTGGAACGATCAGGACATTTTGTAATCGGAAATGACCTTGTAATTGATTTGTTCTTAATTTTTAATGAAGGACGATTGAAATATTCAAGCCGAAACAACCTCTAACCTTTACACCGCTTCCTATTGTTCGGTTATCTATTTTCACTTTGTCTTTACTCCTCATGAAGAATTTTCTAACATAACAAGGTCATATTTAAAACGCAGCAAATGACTACAGTTCCAAGCGGAAACAAAGAAGGAGATACGTTCGTTCTTATTGATAATTTGCTATACATAACTATATCTCTTTTAAAAAGGACTTAATCTTCATAAGGTTATCCCTATAAATATACAATTTTAGTCCTAAAAATTTCCGAAACAATGAGAATCAATCAAGATAGTTCGGGTACTTCGTTGTTTGTATAAGCAAACCAAATGCGAGGGTATTATTTCTGCTATGGTTTAAAAAAATTGCCTGACTTGGTCAAAGTCACATTCAAGGTCACCAAATCTTCCCTTCGAACTCATACAAACTTCATCTTACAGATTCATCAAAACAATGAGCTGCAATTAGGATATGACTTGGATATAATTAATAGGAGGAGTACGGTTTGGCAGTGCCCATTCTATTAAGCAATGTCCACTGTAGAAAAAGTCAATAACATTGAATAAATATGCTGTTTTCATTATTATTTTGATAGTCTTTCAATTTATTTATTCATTTATTTATTTAAATATCAGCTATTGTTTATTGTACCTATGGTGTTGGAAATTTGTTAGCTTTAGTAAAAAGTTATTTGATTTCTAATCGGATTTTCGAAATTGAAACGTTCCGGTGTTTAACCAGCCGGCCACCTGCAACCACTAAGAAAACACCCTAGTTACGCCAATATAAATGACTCGCCCTATACACCAACTAAATATATATGCAAATGGAACTATAACTTCTACGGCACGTATATAAATGCACACATCTCTTTTTGTTTTGTTATTTTATTTTTGTTTATTATAAAGACCTGACGGTTATTCACCGGACAACTTGAGAACCCAGAAATGGCCCCTAAAACCAGGCGTTCTAGTTCACGTAAGCGCCATGCGTAACTTGGGCTCCCTACAGACAAGGAATCAAAATTTTAAAACAACACAGGTAAATAAGGACATTGTAAAGCGGAAGAGAAGGTGCAATAAAGTTTATGAGAGACTTGAACGCCTCAGGGACAGGATTAAGTACGGCGATCCGGAGACATTACCCGTTGGAATTTATCACAGTCCTAACGGAGGTAGCATATCATTTCTATTTTATTGCTTTTGCACTTTTCTGTTTAGCAAAAATTGTTCGAAATGTTCTACATCATTCATATTGTACATATGACAAAAGTAGGCAGTTTTAGGTATAACGATTGCAGCCCCCTTTCTTCAGTATTTCTATCAGGGGCGTAGATATAATATTTTAAAATAGGGATCAGTGAGCAAGTAATAGACAAACAAATAGAAGAACTAATTGTTGATGTTGGTGACAGTGATAGAGATTCTTATGATGAGAGTGAATGTGAAAACTAACTATAAAACAAAATCAATAGGTTAATTTTTTCTTCTTGATAAGTCATGTTTTTACATTATTTTCTAGTACGCTACTGTCCTATCTGTATTAATACTATAATTTACGCCTACTGATAATAGGTCATAAATGGGCAAGTACTTGCGCGACCGCTCACTAGCTTCCTTCGTCAGACCTGTACCTGCGCGACCGCTCGCCAGCTTCCTTCGTCCGACCTGTACATGGGTATCCGATTACATTTTGATATTTTGCGTATACAGTGGAATTCGTTTATTATGACTCCGCCTATATTGACCAATCGCTTAATATGAAGTAATTGCAGTGTTAAGTTTGGTTTTCATATTAAACTCTCTATAGGGAAGTTTGGATATAACGACTCCGTTTAAAATGACACATCGTTTATTATGACTGATTCTCAAGACATCATATCCGGCTATAGTGACCCAAATGATTAATAATATCATTTTCGCTCATTTTTCTGACCCTTTCCACTTCTGCTCCTGCAAGGAAGTTTGGTGCGCTTGTAGCGCGTGGCTCGTTTTTGTTTTGATTTTCAATGACGAGATGACAGTTCAAGGATTCGAGAGAAAGGTGCTATTATGAGCAGACTTGAAAATGGAGAATCAAATTCATCTCTTGCAAAGGAATTTGACATTTGCCATTCGACAATATCCATGATTTGCAAAAACAGGAACCTGAATAACGAATCGTATAATTAAAATGCTTTAAATCCGAAAAGGCTTCGAAAATCACGACTGAGTAATATTGATCAAGGGTTAAAAAATGGCGAGAACCAAAGGAATAGTGGTATGATTATGCTGACATTGATAGCATTCTCCTCACATCAGAAGAACTATCAGATGAACATATCGTACAGAATATCACAGCTAATAAGCAGAACGAAAGCAATGAGGATGAGGAAATCGAAGACAAATCAGTCCCCACCGCAGAAGAGGCTTTAAAAGCTGCAGACTTATTATCACGATTTGTTTATAGCAATTTCGAAAATGATAATCTAAACAGAGCAATATCTTCTTAGAGACTGATGAAAAAACAAAAACAGACANCGGTTTCGAGTGACTTACCCAAATAGATCATAAATAGGCAAGTACAGGCCTGACGCTGGAAGCTGGAGGAAATTTTTAAATGGTGTGGATGCGCGGTGTAGGTGTGTGTAGGCAATTTTAGGTATAAAGATTGCAGCTCTCATTCTTCAGTATTCCTATCAGGGGCGTAGATTAAATATTTTAAAATAGGGATCAGTGAGCAAGTAATAGACAAACAAATAGAAGAACTAATTGTTGATGTTGGTGACAGTGATAGAGATTCTTATGATGAGAGTGAATGTGAAAACTAACTATAAAACAAAATCAATAGGTTAATTTCTTCTTTTTGTTAAACTATGTTTCTACATTATTTCCTAGTACGCTACTGTCCTATCTGTATTAATACTATAATTTACGCCTGCTGAAAGCTTATTTGTGTATCGGTTTCGAGTGACTTACCCAAATAGATCATAAATAGGCAAGTACAGGCCTGACGCTGGAAGCTGGAGGAAATTTTTAAATGGTGTGGATGCGCGGTGTAGGTGTGTGTAGGCAATTTTAGGTATAAAGATTGCAGCTCTCATTCTTCAGTATTCCTATCAGGGGCGTAGATTAAATATTTAAAAGCAAGGATCAGTGAGCAAGTAATAGACGTACAAACAGAAGAGCTAATTGTTGATGTTGGTGACAGTGATAGATATTCCGATGATGATAGTGAATGTGAAAACTAACTATAAAACCAAAGCAATAGGTTAATTTTTTCTTTTTGATAAGTCATGTTTTTACATTATTTTCTAGTACGCTACTGTCCCATCTGTATTAATACTATAATTTACGCCTACTGAAAGCTTATTTGTGTATCGGTTCCAAGTGACTTACCCAAATAGGTCATAAATGGGCAAGTACC